CAGCAAAGGCTTGCCCCTTCACTACTTTTCTAGGCTCGAAAGTAACTTCAAGGATCTGTATTTCTATGGCCCATTTGATCATTCGGCCTGACGACTCCATGGTGGTCAGTGGCCGCTTGATAGGTTGGTCTGTATACACGACGACTGCATGTGCCAAAAAGTAGGGCTTCAATTTTTTAACATCCATGAAGAGTGCAAGACCAAATTTCTCCACTAAGGGATACCTCAACTCGGCATTTTTCAGTACATGACTGACAAAGTAGACCGGGAGCTGACAACCGTCTCTTTCAGCAATAAGAACAGCGCTTAACGCATGATCAGAGACGGCCAGGTACATGTAGAGTACTTCTTTGGGCAAAGGGCTGACCAGCCTCGGCAAGGAATGCAAGTGAACTTTCAATTTCTGGAAGGCCGCCTCAGCATCCGGCCCCCATTCAAACCTTGCCTTCTTCTTAATGGCTTGGAAGAAGTATAGGCATTTGTCGCCTGATCGGCTTAGAAATCTTCCCAGGGCCGCCAGACAACCTGTTAACTTCTGAACCTCTCGGATGGTACGAGGCGACTGCATGTCGATGACCGCCTGCACCTTCTCAGGGTTCGCCTCTATTCCTCTCTGATTGATAAGGAATCCGAGAAATTTCCCAGACTCAACTCCAAAGACACATTTCTTGGGATTGAGCATGACATGGTGCCGCCTGAGTGTGGCGAAAGTTTCTCGGAGGTCCGACAGATGATCTTTCTGAAGTTTAGACTTGACAATCATATCATCAATATATGCCTCGACATTTCTCCCAATCTGATCAAAGAACACAGTGTTTATCATTCGTTGGAAAGTGGCCGGAGCATTCTTAAGACCAAACGGCATGACCGTGTAACAGTATAACCCCTGATCAGTGACGAAGACCGTCTTCTCCTGATCTTTCTTCCATAAAGGAATTTGATGGAAACCAGAGTAGGCGTCCATAAAGCTCATTAAAGCATGGCCGGCTGTTGAGTCGACCAGGTTATCAATTTTAGGCAGAGGGTAACTGTCTTTGGGGCACGCCTTGTTTAAGTCTGTGTAGTCTACACACATTCGCCAGGTGCCATTCGGTTTTTTAACAAGCACCACATTTGCAACCCAGTCTGGGAAGTAACATTGCCGAATGAACCCTGCATCAAGTAATTTTTTAACTTCGGCGGCTGCCGCCTGACTTCTTTCTTCGCCATGGTTCCGCTTCTTCTGCCGTACCGGCTTCTTTTTCGGATCCACGGCCAGTTTATGTACCGCCAGATCAGGACTGATGCCTGGCATTTCATGGACTTCGAATGCAAAGATGTCCTTGTATTCTTTCAATAGTATGTGAAAGTCGTCACCCAGGTCCCTTAGAGCAGTCGTCCCAACTTTGACTGTTCTGTCAGGACGCGAGTCATCTAGGATCAGATCCGTATGCTCACCAGTTGGCTGAGGGCGGAATTCATCCGACCGCTCTTCTACCAATGATTGCTATTTTCTTTCTTTTCTTGCGGCCCCTGTCTGGGATGCCTTTCTCTTCTTGCCGCCTGCTTCTTGAACAGGCGCACTTTCCTTGACATTGTCAAGGTCTATTTTTCCACCACTCGACCCAGTGGCCATAACGGTGGGCTTGACATCCGAGAGATAGCACTCTCGGGCCATCCTCTGATCTCCCCTTAGGGACCCGACTGTTCCATTATCCCTCTCAAACTTGAGCAACATAAGAGATGGGATTATAACAGCCTTGGAATTATTCAGGGTTGGTCGTCCCAAAATCATGTTGTAGGCCGAGAGTTCTTCTACTACCAGGAACCGGACTACCATGTGTCGTCCTTTCCCTTTTTCACCCAGGCGGATGGGTAAATCCACTCGTCCCACTGGGTGGACGACTCCTCCTCCAAACCCTACTAAAGGGTGGGATGCCGGATGTATGCAATCAGTCTGATATTTTAGTTTCGACAGACATTTGCTACTGATGAGATCTGAGGAGCTTCCGGTATCTATGAGGATTCGTCCAACTCTCTGGTTAGCCACTTTACATTCAATAACGATAGGGTCGTCATGCGGCCCTCTTACCCCTCCTAGATCTTCTTCAGTGATGACAATCTCAGGAAATGAATATTTGGAGAGCCGTTCTTGGTGAACGGAATTTACATCTAGCCGTCTGATATTGTCTTTGTTGCCCCGAATAGTGGGGCCGTCTCCTGAGAAGCCGCCTGCTATGGTGTAGACGACTGCATCATCTGTATCGGAGCTGTCGGCCTTTTGATTCTTTTTGGCCGACTGTTTTTTCGAGGAAGTGTTCCCCGTAGATTTCTTGACATAAGTGTCAAGATCACCTTGCTCAGCCAGGCGGTCCAAATACCGCATGAGACTGATGCATTCATTGGTGTAATGACCAACATCTTCATGATAATCACAGAATTTTTCTTGGTTCCGGTTGTTTGCAGAACCCTTCATGGGGACCGGCTTTTCAATTGAGATTCGTCCCTTGATTTCCTTTAGGATAAGTTTGTTATCCTTGTTAAACGCATACTTTGGGGAGTATGGTTTGAATTCTTTTTTCTTCTTCTGGGACGGCTGTTTAGTGGAATCAGCCGCCCAGACCTCTTTTCTCTTCTCATTTTTGCTTGACGACTGTTTCTGTCGTCCTTCTCCTTTGTCGAACCTTTTCCCGTCCGACTGTTTTGTACTACAAAGATCAGTCGCCTGTATATAGGCTTCCGCTTCAATCAAGGCCTCTTGAAGAGTCGCCACCCTCTTTCGAACCAAATCAAATTTGAATGTCGATCCGTCTTTGAGGCCTCTGAAAAAGTCAGTATAGGCTACTTCATCCGGTAACCCTTGAATCTGAATTCTCATCAGGTTAAACCGCCTGATGTAAGAACGAAGCCCCTCCTTCTCGCCCTGCTGAATTGTTCCTAAATCAAGGGTCGTCTTTTTCGCAGGGATGTTCATGGCGAAGTTGGAGGTGAATAAGTAAGCAAGCGTCCTGAAGTTATTTACACAACCAGTCGGCAGGTTGCCGAACCATTGTTGTGCGATTCCTTTGAGAGTCGCTGGGAAACACTTGCACCAAGTGGGATCATCCAACCCTTGAAGGTACATCAGGTTGGTGAATGCCATCAGATGGTCTTCTGGGTTAGTAGTGCCATCATAGGCGCCTACTAATACATTTTTCACTTTGGCCGGCTGAGCGGCTTCAGTAATTTCCTTGGAGAAGGCCGACGGCTGTTCGCCAAGTCTAAGCAACCGTAGCTGCCAGTCCATAGGTTGGACATTTTTTTGGTGCATGCCCACCAAACGGAGGTGGCTGCAAAAAATACTGTTGTTGCGGTACAAACGGTAAGTTTGGTACCGCCTGGTCGCTATGAAAGCCGGACTGACGGGAGGTGCCGCCTGACTGACTCTCATGATACGACTGAGTATGCCTCATCGAGGTATTGCGCAGACTGTCTTGGAAATTTGAAGTAGAGGCCGACTCTGACAATCGGTCACTCTTCTTCTGCTCTAGCAGTAGCCGAGCGTCTGTGTATGTTTTCTTCGACCCGTCCGCCTGAATATGACGAACAGGTTTTCTATTTCCTGGAGTAGGGAAACGGTATTTTGTGAAATCAAGGGCAGGCGGCTCCCACTTCCTAGATTTAGGATGAGGGGTCGCCTCTCGCCCCTGAACTGGCTTCCTCTTTCGTGAAGTGGAGGGTTTCTTAGCCGACTGCTCCTTGTCCAGAGCAGGCGGTTTCTTGTTGATCAACTCTTGAATTTCTCCCTTGAAGCCCCTCATGAAGGTCATGAGTTCGTTCCTTGTGATGGGAGCAGACTCATCAGTCGGCTGCTGCCGAACGGGCGGTGCGCCTGCTGGCTCACTTCCAGTTTGAAGATGTTCCCGTTCCCTCCTTTCGGTATGACGGGTACGTCGGGCCCTTAGGGTCCCGTCTGAAGCTGTGTGAGCTTCAACTTCAAATTCATTCTCAGTATCGTGGTCCGACTGAACTAGAGGGTCGTCCAGAGGACGCCTCTCTTCAGGAGCCGGTACAAACGTGGATGCCATCTCAGAAGTACTCTCCCCACAGACGGCGCCAAAATGTTTCGGGGTTTTCTGATGTCCTGCGGGAGAGTTACAATTCCGAGACTGGAACCGGCCGCCTGTACCTGCAAAAAAAAACGGACGCTCCGGATGATTGGAGATCCGCCTCCGACGGTCAAGTTAGTACTTGATTAAGGAGTAATTAATGCGGAAATTAAAGTGATTGGGTCTCTCTAGGTGAGAGTGATTAATGTGTGTAATCTGCGTTTTTTTTTGTGTAATCCCCCTTAATGAGGATTAAGGGAGGTATTTATAACCTCGGGAAACGTGCCAATCTAGGTTTAGGTTAACCTTGGGCTGATTGGGCTTCCCTCGGAAGTTGGGCCTAGGTGGCCGGTTTTTCCATTAGGCATGAAGTATGCCACGTGTCATGACATAATAGGTCCAGGGTGGACGAATAAGCGTGTGCCACGTGGCAAGCCCTAAGAGGTCCAACTGGGGGACACTTGGCAGGACCTGATTGGCCCACGTGGCGCATTCCGATTGGTGGGAGCAAAATCCCCTAATCAACGTGAGTACGAGACAATTGCTGTTAAATTATGAAAAAAAAACGTAGTTGACCCTTAAAACTGTTCTCCCTAATAAATGATCCGTTGATAATAGAATATTAAGTGTCAATAGTTCATTTCAAACAAATAGCTAAAGAATGACAACTAAAACAAACTCATGTTATAAAAGTGTTTTTTATATGCCCAAAGTTGAGTGCATTAGACTCATGAATTTATTCTTTTGCCCAAAAAAATTAAATGGTTAAATAAAATTTTAAAAGTTCTTTAAATTGATGTTTCATAAGCTTAATTATGATTTATATTGAATAATATATTAGTCACTGACTAACGTTAGTCTCAACTAAGACACCCTTACACTCTTTAGGCTATAACATAAAATATATAAATGATATTACTATGGGACTAATTTTATTAGAAGTAGATTTAAAGAGATTTCCAACGATTTATTATAAGCCCAATTTCGGCTTCGCAATCAAAAGTTATGGGTTTCGAAAAATCAGATTTTTTGCAAGAGTGGAATCGTGAGAATCGATAATAGAATTGTGGAATCGATCCAATTCCACAGATTTTAACCGATTCTACAGCCAACAATTCTATTGACGAATTATATCATTTGGGTGAATTGGGATCGATTCTACAATCTGAATCATGATTTTAATAACATTGATCCTAATGTTTAATAGGTAAACTATCATAATACATAACTCATACGTCGTTTAATCTCATTCATTCAAGTATTTGTTGGTCACAAGGAACTAACTTTCCTCCTTTCTCACACAACCCTTGCTCGTTGACCGGGCTAACCACGGTTCCATAACTATACTTCAATGGCATTCTACCTAAAACCTTGTGAAATTCTCTTATACACTCTCCCCTCCTCTTTCTATGTTCTCCAAGACCTCTCTTCACGCCGCTCAATCCAACACCGACCTCTTTCTCTCGTTTCCCAATAACTACCTCGTTTCTCGCGTCCCCCCAATCTCTAACTCGCTCGGCTCCAATAAGGAGCGGGCCCCGCTCCGTCACATCGGCAACCACAAAATTCATCAATATGTCCTCACAATTACACATATTATCAACTACACCCCTCAACTCCCTAAACTTTCCCTCCAACCCCTCCCTCCCACAACTATACAAATACAAAAAGTCAACATTCAACATCAAAAACTTAGTCAACACGATCGAGTATCGATCTTGATGAACGGTGTAGATCCATTCCTTCCTCCTTAAATCCAAACCGTGCGATCTTGCAAACAACCCAATTAAACGGTCCCGATTCACCTGCCAAACCTTGAACGCAAACTCAATCGATTTGGGGTCCACCTCAACATCATCGTCACATATAAGCACGCCACGTGTCCTAATCCAACGGCGTGGAAGAAACCTCGAATTTAAACTGTTAGATTTTTGACGGACCACGGTAACAGGTGCACCCGCGGAGTAGAGGAGAGAGAAATTCGAGGAGAGAGAATCTAGGGTTTCCGCCGGCGTCGATGGATTCCCCCAAAGTACGACGACGGCGGCGATCACCGGCGACGCTGCGTAAACTCCGGCGATCGTACTCAGGAGAGAGATTCGGAGCTCCGAATATCCGTTTATGAGGACCGTTAGTTGATCGGTTCGTAGTGATTGTGGATTTGGTAGGGTTTTTCGATCGCACCAGGGGTTAGGGTTTAAGGAGAGAGAACGATGAGAGAGAGTTGAGAGTGGAAGATGAAGAATGAAGATGAAATTGAGGAGAGAGAAAATGTATCTTCTTCGAGCTTCCATGGGAGAGGAGAGGAAGAGTTGAAAATAATGTGGGACGAGTTTCGAGTCAGCGATTTATTGTTCGTGTGTGTGAGATTGACCAATCTCGGATATTAACATAAACTTTTTCGACTTCCAGTGAGTTTTATAATTCGTGTTCGGAAAATTGTGGGTTTGAGTGGCTGAATAGTGAGTCTGACGGTTTAGTGTTTATGTGTGTGAGATTGATCAATCTCTAATTAACGTGAATTTTCTCGACTTCTAGTGGTGGGAAATCGTAGGTTCGGAGTGGGCCGAGTGGCTATGTGGTGAACGGGAAATGGTGAACCTTTTTTTTTTTGAGGGCAATAATGGCAAACTTTATTGTTTATTTGTTTATGTGCGTGGGATTGATGAATCTCGGATATGAATAATATCTCTCGACTTTTCGTGAGTTTTGTGTGGTGGGATCGGAGTGGCAATGTTGTGAATATGGTGAATATGAAGGGTGATTTTTGGCAGGGGTTTTATGTGAACGTTAGCAGTTAGTATTGGTTGGTATTTGATGATTTTGAAGGAATTGATGGGAGTAACAATGGCAGCTCTTTTGCCAACTGTGAAGCTCAATTTCTTGCCAAAAATTCCATCATCTTCAAATTCATCTATAAAGAGGGTGGTGGGATTAAAGCCTGTGTTTTGCTCAGCTGTTCAGCAAGTGGAACAACAAGTATATCTCTCTTCTTTCTCTAACTTAATCTAATTGAAGCATTGAAACTATACATGCTACACCAAGAATTATGGTTAAACATGTGAAATTTGATTGGGTTGCTTATGAATGAAGATTTTGATCTTTGAAATTAGGATTAATGTGTTAATTTTAATTGTACTAACTATTTAATTAAATTTTATAAGTACAGTTTGTTTCATTGCTTGGCACAACATTGTTGGGTGGTGGTGGTGGTGTTCTCGTGAGCGACTTGAAATTGTTGTAAAGGCTTAAAGTTAGAATTTTATTTTGAGGGATTGTTTAAATAGAATGAATATTGTACTTATACTGTTGAATAAGATTAGTATTACCGGGGCCTAAAGAAAGGGTTTCTGTGGCCTTATGCATACTTGAGTTCATCCTTTTTTCACTGGAAGTTCTTTGCTCAAGGGAATTGCAATTGTTGGTGGATTTATGTAATATTAAGCTGTGCTTTGTATAATGCATCGGGATATGTGGGTTTGATTCACTGGTTTGGATAAAATGTACTTTTGTTTTTTAAGATATACTGCAATTAATTAACATGTAAGTGAATTTTTTTGCTTGGGGAAGTAATGGCTCTCAAGTACTTACTATTTCTGGCTTTAATCATTATCAGCTAATTATTCTTGTTAAATGCTTGAATGAACCACCATGATTAGTGTAACTTAATAAAAGTTACAACTGAAAACTTCGAACACAAGAGGGACAATATTCAATGATGTAGAGATAAGGTTTATTCATTTGAAAAAGGAAGAAATTGTATTTTCATTTGTCATTTTATCAATTTCATGGCATCACTTTGGTTTGTTGATATGTCATTTTATCAATCATGGGGAAGGAATGCATTCTACAAGTTTTTACACTTATGAACACTTCAGTTGGATGATTTGATGGGCTGAGAACAGTCTGAAACTCTGAATGGAAATAAGTCTTAAAAATGGTGTTAATATCACCAGTTTATTGGTTGTTTTATATCATCTTTGGAGAGCCAGGAATGATGCTTTGTGGAATAAAAAGGGTTCTAGAATTGATATACTTGTAAAGCAGACAATAAATGATGGTGAATAGTCTTATAGGTCCTAAGATCACAGCAAATGATAAATCCTGGTTTGATTCTTTATATTGCAAATGAATTGTTGGCTGGTAGCCTTGTTTGATTTGGGTTTACTGTATCAATAAAGTCCTTGCTACAAGTTTTTTTTAGCAGCATAACTCTTAGGTTGTGAATTGAGAAATAATACTTCCTTTGTATTTTTCAAATGCATCACTTTTAAAATCATAGACTTCTAAACAATTTTTGGAGATGAGAAAGATAGAGAGAGAAAAAAGAGGGTCCATGTGATATGAGAGGGAGAGAATTCATTAACTAAAGAGGAAAGTCATGCATCTAAGTTGAACTTCCATATGATGCATTTAAAAAATAACGGAGGAAGTAGATTACTCTTACTTACTAGGGGTAAAAAAAAAGAAAGAAAAAAAAAGTTCTGTGATGAATTTTTATTGACAAGCTTCTTTTAGTTCGAAATTTGAACCCTGTTTCTATAGGAGTGGGACTGGATTGGGTGGAGGATAAGCATGTGCTTTCCAAAAAGATGGGTAAATCTCATACCCTGCTGTGTGCACTCTTTGTGAATGAAATTTTGACTTTTTATTCAGAAATCATTGAACTACTATTACACCTCATTGCTCTGTGTTGTACTGTACTCTATATGACTGTATCTGTTATATGGCTTCAAAGTGGGTTTGTAAATTTACTCATTTAGAAAAATGTTAGAGATTCTTTGAGGATGGAACTATTGTAGGCTTATATCAGTGCTGTTTTCAAAGTTTATTATCTACTTTATAAGATAATAAATCATTTTACTCCAAATTATTGATGCCAAAGGAATAGTGATCACTCTACGGAACTCTCATCCTATCTACAATAGATAAAAATAATAAAATAAATAAAATTGAGGAAGTAAATTGAGATAAGGGCCAAAACCCATCGGCCTCATACTCTCATTCAACATCTGTAACATAAACAGAATGTAAACATTCTAGTTACTGCACTTTGTTTACATTATAAGGAAGCAGGTTGTCTCTGTTGAGCTGTGTACCTGTTGTTTCATTAATTAATTTGTTTTTCTCTATACTGCTACATTGTTCTTTATGTCCTACCTTCTAATTTGTTTTTCTCTATACTGCTACATTGTTCTTTATGTTGCTGAACTGATCCTGATATTAATCTTACTCAAACTGTTTAGGAATCAAAGGTAGGAATTTTGTGTGAACCTTGCAACGGAACAGGATGGCTACTTTGTGATTTCTGCAATGGACAAAAAACTAATGTGAAGTCTCAAACAAATAAGATCTACCGTCGATGTCCATCATGTAAAGCAGTAAGTGATTTATATTTCTATATCACCACGTTGGAAAAACTCGAGATGTTTTTAGCTGATTACAGCATACATAATCCATGATGTCTAGCTATTGATTAGTATCTCATACGAAGTATATGAGAAAGTAAAATGGAGACTATAAGTGATGCCATTAGTGGAGGATTGCCCAATATCTTACATGCTGATCTCAAAGCAAAGTATCAGCTACAAAATTGCCCATCAAACAATGTAACATCAGTCACCACTCCCTCCCCCACCTCTTCGTATCTTCCTCTTTTCTAGCGGTATCTTTAGAGGTCAACTCAGTTTATAAGTAAGTAAAAATGCTCTCACAAGATCACACTGTTTATTTTTAATTTGATGCCTTACTTTTGGTCTATTCTTCTATGCTCAGTTTGGAGGATGAGAAATGGAAGGTAAGGAAGAGCAGGGAGATGAGACATGGAAGGTAAGGAAGAGTAGGGAGAGTGATGGAACTAGTTCCTATTTAGATAATATTTAGGCTGGACTGGAATAAGAAGAAAAGGAAGTAGTTTCTTTCCTCTTGATGGACTCCCAAGTTGAAATGATTCAGATACGAATTAAATCTACTTTTCTTTCCTCTTCATCTTTTATGTAAAAAAAAATACAGTGATCTATATTTCTTTCCCTCTCTGATATACCATGGAGGACAGGCAGAGGGGTTGAGTGGGGGCAGCGTAAGGTGGTGTGAGGAGGAAGGGGGGTAGTTCAGGAACAATTATTGAAAGGAAGTGGTCTTAATAAAGAAGGGGGCAGTATGTTGTTATTAAGTTATTCTTGAATTGTTACGAGAAGATGCAGAGTGCTTGATATTAGCCTTTGTTTTCACAAAATTTTAGTTCAAGGGAATTTTTTCCTCAATACCTTCCTCCCTTTGGCAGAGAGTCTCCCAATGCCATGATTTCAATTAACTATCATATATTGTTCAGATTAACTTGTTTTGTCTTCTTCCTCCCTTATACTCTATTTCCCACTTAGGAATTAAGATGATGACTGTCTTCTGATTCTTCAGAAGCAGTCTGACTGAAACACAAATTGTGATTTTTGACGTGAAATACGTCTTGGTGAAGGGTGCCATAGCTGTTGTGTTGCCTAGTATACATATTATAGCTTTGAATATATGGTGTACTTGGTAATATTTTTTTGGGATTGCCATTTGACTGTTCGAACAAATTTTGCTTGCAGACTGGATACATAATGTGCGCGAAGTGTAAAGTCTTCAAATGTGTTACATTCCCAGATCAGAGTGATGGTGAGCAGCTTTCATTTTGAGGATCAAACTCTTATGAAAAACTAGCCTGTACTTGGTGGGATGAAGGCTGATGATAAGCTTAAGGCAATATAATTCTTAGTTAGTAATTTTGGGTTGGAGAGGGGGAAGGGGCCAGAAAAATATGTTCTGTTTACTCTTCTCCTATTTTTCCTTTTTGACCAGCAATACAGAATATGAATAGTATCTTATTTCAGAATTAGCTGCTCTCATATTTTTCTTTGGTCTATGGTCCTTTAGGGAGTTGCCACACCCATTGTTTGTTGCTGCTGCTGCTGTTGTTGTTGTTGTTGTGGATATTTCAGTTGTATACGCATTTTTTTGTACAGAAGCACCACGTTAATTTTTCATTGACAATTAAACCACTGCGATAAGTTTGTCTGAGAAGAGTGAGAACAACATACTGTTTTTCTTTTGGTATTGCTTACTGTTCTTTTGTTGATAAGTTATCTTTCATTAATCGTTTTAGAGGAGACATTTTAACCTTTCTGTGTAGTGAAAGATAACTGAAATTAGTGACTGTAATGACAAGGAAACAAGTCACCTGTGATCAATTGTTTGGGTTCAATCAACTATTAGCTTGGCTATGGCTCAACAAAGAAGAAACAATGTCAGAACACTTGTGAACAACCCAAAAGCATAAGGTAATGGCTAAATAAAGATGTTTCAGCTTATTATGGATGCATTAGTGGACAAAAGCATACAAATAAATCGATCCAGCTGAAGCTTACTGTGTTTTACTTGTGCTAGCTCTGTTAGTACATCAGTGGGGAGTATTTTTATTATCTTTGATGACAAGGTATCGAGTATTGTGATTGAAAAATGATCACAGCAATGGTCAGGCACAGTCTTTTGAGTGATATTAGAACCTCAGTAACTAATTTGGAAAGGCCATTAAGATGAAAAAAAAATGAGTTATGGAATAAAGGTTCTGTTAGGACTGTGCCATTGAATAAGTTGCGGCATAAGGGCTTACTCAGTGAATTATACATTGGCAAAGAACTTAATTTTTTGCTCAGGTGCTTACTTTGTGTAGTTTATTGCAGTCAATCATATTCCTAGTAAATTTGAATTTGTTACAGGAAACTAGGAAAGCCTCTGTCCTGAGCAGCTGTGCAAGTTATGTAGTAGTTATTAATAACATTGTCTCCTCACATATGTGCCTGTATCCTGGAGCCTATCAGAGAAAAATTAATTCATATATGATGGGAACTGTTCTATTTGTTCGAAGTGTTATTTATTGGACTGCTTGGACATGTAGAATACTCAACCTCACTCACATATTTGATCTGTGTAGCTTCTCTCTAACGAAGTTTGATGTGTTAGTTTGTAATTTAGGCTTTAAAGAGTCATTTTGTGTTTCTTGATTTACCATCTTTATGCTAAAGCAGAACCAGTTGATGAAACTCTTACAACAAATCCTTTCTGGATTGACAATTTTACACTTCATGTTGTTAAGGAATTAGTAGGAGTATGAACCCCTTGGGTGATAAATTTAATAGCCTGTTCCTCCCTCCAGTTATATCTAAATACGTTTTTGATGCAGATGTGTATATATATAGTATGACATTGATTCTAGAAATTATGCTTAGTTCATCCGCATGTCTATAGCACTGCGATGATTAGATTGTTTACGGAACAGAATGGAGTAGTCTTTTTGTATTTTTTTTTTAGGTGAAGAAGATAAAAACTATGTTGATAAACGCAGATGGGATTCTAACACAGATCTCTAGCACAACCCCCTGGAGCCTGGACATAACAGATAAGCTAGCAGACATCACTTGGCCACTATGAAGACAAAAAAAAATATGTTTTCAAGGAATATACTTATAATTCTACCTTTTGTTTTATTCTAAGTATCTTCCATTTCTTTGTTTATACATCTTTACTTCTTTAAATGTTGCATGGTACACTCTTCAGGGACTTGTTTCGGAAAGTCTGCACTACTCTACATGCTTATGCCTCTTCATGTCAACTAAAGACTTCACATGGACCAAAGGTAAAATTACTTACCATGTGCTCTGTTGCTTAGTTTTGATTGGACAATAATGTTAATTATTCTGCACGAAAGCAGATGAATATAATTATCATTTCATAGATCTGAAGTCAAACAGAAGCTTATAGCCTTGCATATTTGTTTACATTTTTTCTATATTTTGCCAGCACATGTGAATCAATAAAGAGAACATGCTATAGTTGCTCTGTTTACACTGGTTTATGGGAACTTGTAGAATGCAATATGCTATTATAGTATTGTCCTACTTGTTAGATCCGCATTGGATACGATTCCTTCAAGTTTGTATAGTTTTCTTCTATGCTGATTTTTTGGTCCTGTTGTACGGTAGTTTTTGTGCTAAAAAGGGAGATCCTAATAGCTGTTAACTAATTATAGTTTGGACAGCTGTAACAGATGTCTAGTGCTAGATCATACCTTCTTTAGAACCCTATGCAGGTGAAACTGTTAGCATATCTCTCTCTTTCAGAATATATTGCTGTGATTTGAATAAATTATGTACGGTCTTCAATTTCCAAGAAGTTGCTAAATTCTGATGTTGTATTATGTACCAGAGGTGAATCTATCTAATGACAATTCATGCTTGCTTCAAAGCTATTGGCTTCTAAGGAGTTGGGTAGCTTGATTCTGCTCAACGCATTTTGTAACACTCCTCCCAAGTCTCGAGCCACTTTTAATTGCTCCTAGCACTTATCCTCAAAAAAATTGTACAATGGGTCAATATTTATGTGAAAAATTAGAATTGTAAGCAATATTTGAAGCATGTTTAAGCCTTTAGGACTGGGCATAGTTATGCTCGATTCATTACATTCTCGAGCAGGACTTGGTTAATTTGCAAGCCATTTAGGCTCATTCCTTATCACTGACAATTAATTGAGCTTTTCTCTAGAATATGATTCTTTGTGGAATCAATTTTGTCTACATACATTAAATTTGCATATGATAAATAGATGAGTTACTAAATTTTTTGGATGTAGTACCTCAGAGGCTCAGACTGTAGATGGAATTTTGAGTCTGTTGTCTTAGTGGCTTCCTTTGAACAGATCAAAATCTTCTGAGATATTGATGTCTAAAATTTCAGATACCAACATTATCAGACTTTCACCTTAACTGGTGTATAAAGATGGGCACCTTATTGTTTCCTTAGCATAGAAAGTCCTCCCTGTTAATGAGTTTAACAGTAACTGAATTTATAATTGTCAACAGGGTGGTCAGAGTGGCTTCAGATCATATTTTATCTAAAGACTATCGTGAATAGGACCTTGTACTGGTACGTTAGTGATGAATTATATTGTTGGACTGTCATTATTTTGTGACTCTTGCTTCATGCTTCTGATAATATAGCATGACGGATGGCCTATGTTACTCGGACTTTACATTTCACCTCACGTACCCGTGTCGGACACTCTACACTTGGACATGGGTGGGGACACTTGGACACTTCATTTTCGTTCAAAATCATTGAAATTTTTTACAAAATAGCAGGGTCGGACACTTGGACACGTGTCCGTGTCAGACATGGGTACCCGAGTCCAAGTAACATAGCGGATGACTCTATTCTGTGTGCTTTGGTTTTGCAGTCGATTGAGGTTGTCTTAGTACATTGTCAAAGGGATTGCTACTATATGATTATACAGTATACATACAGGCATACAGCTTATACGTGTTGAGTTGTTTATTATCTAACACTTAGTAAAATGAACAAATGTCCTCAAAGTAAGTACAACAAGATTGATTTAAGGTAAGAAGAAAGAAGAAGATAAAAAAACCCAATTTTTGATAGTTTTTATGAGGTAATACTTTCTAGATAATAAACATGTTAGCAATCTAGCTTGAGTTGTTATTTTAAATGGTAAACAGTTTTTTTAGTCATTGACCTCATTGTTGCTGTTGCTGTTGGCCGCTGGGGAATCCATTTTTAAGAACTTGTAGTTTAATATGTTCTACTTCTTTGATTTAATAACCCATTTCTTGTTACTTTGGTAGGCTGCAATGTTTATACAGGGGAGAAAATATTTCCAAACATTTCATATTCAATTGCATTTCTGGAGCAAAACAAGAATACAAAGGTAATATGGACTCTGGAGAATAACAAACGTATAAGATATGGTGACTTCGGTTACAATAACTGATAACTCGGAAGTCATATTACAATGGTTTTTAAACTCGTCAAATTACATGAGCTTTGGACATGATGCTATTAGTCAGCATGCTTTCTCTCACATTTTCTATATATCAACTTTCTTCCGCTCCTAATGAGGTATAAAAAAAAGAAGGGAGAAAGGAATTAGATTGATATATATTATCTGCACATTGGGGTTGGGGGATGTTTAGATTGAGAGAGGCTCTGACTATCTGATGAACCACATACAATCCCATCATTTCTGCTGAACTTCAGACTTTGTTTAGCCTGTGAGCTGTTTTTTTCCTCGACCGCTTTCAAGATGTTCTCGAACACTTCTACTTCACAGGGAATCTTCAGAACACCTTCCTTCTGGTAACCAAACTCCTCCTCAGCTTCTTTCAGCAGGACGCTAAATGCTTGGTGACTCAAGTACTTTGTCGGGATGACAAAGCGCTTCATCTCTTCACCGACTTGAACAGCCAAGAAACCTTTGGGCACAGCATTGTTGCTTGGCACCCCATTGTTGGCTGAGAGGTCGGTGAAAGAGAGAGTCCTCTTCAAAAAATTGATGCCTTTGATGCTGTTGCTCCTACTCAATGAACCCTTTTTAGTACTGCTGCTGCTGCTGCTGCTGTTGTTGCCGGAGTTGCTGATATTGGCCTTAGCATCATCAAGGGGCAGGAAGCCTTTGCTTGACATCCCGTTGTTGGCTGTTAAGTCGGTGAAAGAGAGCGTTCTCTTCATAAAGGTATTGCCTTTGCTATTGCTCCTATTCAAGGAACCCTTTCTAGAAATGTTGCTGTTATTGCTGCTACCATCATTGTCGTCGGTGTTGCCACCATTGACCTTAGCCTCGTGTGCTTGTATCCTCCATTTCTTAAGCTTCTGCTTGAGCCTCACAATGTCACTTATTCTGTTGGATGGTTTGGATGAGTCCATTTTAGGTTTTTTAAATTTAGAAGAAGACAAGCTATCTCTCTGAAAAATGCTTACTATTTATGGTGTTTATGAAAGTTGCTAATCCAAAGTTCAGAAATAGGCTATTTATAAAGGATACTGTCACTGAAAAATTAATTCTTCTGACAGAATTTTAAATTTTTAATGCTAATTATTGTACTATTTGTTCTTGGTTGAAGATAAAGGACAGTATTAGATCAGCAATTCTATATATCAAGAAGCTGGCCTTTATTGGTTTTCGTAATCTTGATGTTTATCACAAGTCTTAAGTTCACTCTCAAAGCCCCATTTTTTACTCTTCATCCCCCCTCACATTCTCTTCCTAATTTCAAGCTTACAAAGTCACATGGGTAGACTGTTTGTATCATTGATGAAAATGGAGTGATTCTAGGAGTTAATCAAGTCCCTCTTGCTGGGCATGATGGCCCGAGACTAGGCCCTGAACAACGGGAAAGAGAACCTAACTTTGTCTTTAGTTTAGAATGTCTCCCCTTCCCCGTATTCAGCCTTTATCCGATCTATATGTCATTTTTTATAAGTGAGTGATTCAAGTGATACCTTGTGTTCTTGATGTCCTGATTTATGATTCATTCATTATTGATACAATTTCAAATCCATGTGGATGTGGTCGAAAAACTTAAAGACTTAAAATTAATGCATAGTCGTATTATTCGAATTATAGCAGCATGTTCGTTGATAGGCATGTAAAAAAGATATTAATGCTTTATCAATGATTGATATACAATGAATCAATAAGTATGATGACTTATTGAGGTGATTTTTATGGGATTTTCGGGTGATGTGTCATAGTTTTACACCAACATACACATCTATTATATGATCTTCATCTACCAAAAAAATTGATGAAATGAAAATTGCATTTTGTGTTAATGATTTCTTGCTAATAATTGAGATTTGACTTTTGTGATATGAATAATTGGAAGGTTTTTTAGGTGGCTTGAGTCATATAAATGGTTGTTACATTTTGGTGTAGATCATTATTGGTTAGTTGGTTGCACTATGAGGGAAAATGAAGATATTGAACAATTATTTCCTACCTACTGAGGAAGTTTTATAAATATTCATACTTCCAACTTCCTATGTTCATTTTTAATCTTCTAACTTCTCATTCAGATGTATTCTTTTTATTTTATTTTATTTGTTTTTTGAAGAAAGATGTATTCTTTTTTATTGATCTTCATAATTTTGTTTTATTTCTTTTATGGAAAATAAAATTATCGTTTTTACCACTCCCCCTTATATATGCACTAATGCACCACTATGTCTTTTAAACAACCTTTGTACACCTCCCAAAAAATTCTAAACAGTAAAAATAGAATATACTTTTTACATAGTATTATTTCATTTTTCGTGGTTTTCATTGTACAATTTACCTCACATACTAAAGAATGTAATAAAATGCCAATGGAGTACAAATCCACATTTTTTTTTTTGAGTAACATGAATATAAGATTTATTTTTTACAATATCATTGATTTTAAAGTAATTGAATATAAAATAAAAAAAATTAAAAAAAAAAGTTTATTGGGTTGCTTAATCATTTGAATCCTAGAGATTAACCGACTAAACTGTCAATCTCCATGTGAACTGAGGTACTACCCCATTGTACGTTCAAGTTTGACTCAAAATTTTATTGCCACTTGACTTTGACTAACTAACTTTCTTTTTTATTTTGAATCTCGATTAAGATAAATATTGTACGGACTAAAAATTTTAGAACATGGTTTCAAATTTCAAGCAACCAATTATATTTACATGATGAATTATATCATTGTTTGTTGTTTGTTTCTCTTAAAAAGTAATTAACCAATCGAGCAGCTGCATAATTGTGCCAGAGTTTTTGTTTGACTAATTCATGGAATTAATACAATTTTCATTTTAATGCAAGTATACTATAATATTGTCTTTGTAATAATTACTTCCCATATGATTTAACACATGCATCTATCTATTAAACTATTTCTAAAAAAGAATCAACTTTTATGAGGAGGTAATGTGTAATGTGTAATGTGCTAATATTAGTACCAACAAGTGTTTAGATCAGTTGATAAGAGAGTTGTTTTAAATTAATCAAGGTCTTTAGTTCGAGACTTGAGAACGCATCATCATTTATTGGGAGAGCTTTCCCTCTAATAGGGGTCTGAATCAACTCGAATTCGGATTAGTCGGAGTCTAGTAGGCGCTGGATTACCGAATATGCTTGCATAAACAACGTTTCATATGTAGACTTTTCGGGTTGACGATTTTAATAAGACATGAGAAAGAGTTCTCGTACATGTGATAATTTTACGATTTTCTCTCATTTTTTGAATTTAGACTTACAAGATAGTTTTGCTTTACATCCCAATGTTTTATACAAGCTCCCAACTTTGATATAAGGATAAATCAAACATTTTTGTAATACTGAAAATTTTTTAAGAGATGAGCAAAAGCACAAGAACCAATAAAACCAATGCAAAGTACCAAACCTTAATTTGATATTTGTATCCAAGGGATCACCACTGCACACAGTACAGTTGCTTAATTGTATGATGGGAGGGTTTATTTTAAATGCAACATGTAAATTTACTTAGTTGATAAGGGAATCTCTGATTTAAGTGTTTAGTCAAACAATGGATGCTTGCTTTCAAGGTTTCATTTTTGTATTATAAATCTCTCTTTCAAGTGTGTGATTGCTTCTTCTAATAATGCTTCGCTTTTTATGCTTTCTTGGTAAATTATTCTCTTTTTTTATTTTTTCATTTTTTTATTTTATTTTTTATTTTTTTAACGCAATATTATTATTTTTCTATCATTGTATACTAACTTGACTAATTAATATTCTAAACTACTATATATGGTTTTTAATATAAAGTATACTTGTATAATAGTAATATATTTACAAAAAAGTAGTTTTCGTTGTTTACAATAAATTTCTATAGAGTACTTTATGTTTTGTAATAACTTAAATTTTAATAAGATTAAAGATATGTGTGCAAGAACAATATTACTACCAAATAGTGAAATCTCAGGAAAAATAAAAGTTTGTTAAATATTATTACTAATCGATATAATTTATTCTGGCTTAAGATTCCACGCACTGTTTTTCATTTATTGCATTATTGGCCTTTTAGCTATGTTGCATTTGATAAATACTGTATTATTTTGATTGAAATGTTAATATAAATTGTTGGGTTTGAGAAGTGTGGAGAACAATACAAGAAGGCTAAGGGGGTGCATAGCTTTGGTGTTAAGCTATGGATTGTTTGCTTGGTGCAAAGCAACAATGAAAAGTAGGAGCTGACTTCAAATGGGCATATCTCAAGATTTAGAAATGATATTAAGATGATTCAAGTTGAAGGTGATATCTCGTCTCAAGAGCTTTCCAACGGCTGGTCATAAGCTTGATTTGGTCAAGAATCGAGGGAGTTATGGCTGTTTTACGAAGAGTTGTCCGTGCAGTGCGGAAGTTCAGCCAAACTTTTGAAAAGTTCGGTTGAACTATATTTGAAGGAAATCAAGTTTTGCTACTGACACGAGAGTTCGATCGAACCTCTTAGAGGTTCGACCGAACCACCATTGGTTCAACCGAACTCGGGGTAGGTTCGATCGAACCGGCTGCCCTGTTTCAGCAACGTGATTTCTTTTATTTCACTCGGGATGTAATCTTAGCCGTTGAACTTCCTTGTAATCTAGCACTATATATACTCTTGTTTTGTCATGTTAGAGAAATAGTATGAAGGGAAAGCTGATTCCAAATGAACATATCTCAAGATCTAGAAATGATATTGAGATGATTCAAGTTGGAGGTGATAACTCGTCTAAAGAGCTTTCCAACGACCGGTCATAAACTCGATTTGGTCAAGAATCGAGGGAGTTATGGCTGTTTTACGAAGAGTTGTCCACATAGTGCGGAAGTTCTACCGAAATTTTGAAAAGTTCGGTCGAACCCTTTGAAGGAAATCAAGTTTTCTACTGACTCGAGAGTTCAACCGAACCTCTTGGAGGTTCAGCCGAACCACACCTGGTACAATTCGACTGAACTCAGGGTAGGTTCGGTCGAACCGGTTGCCCCTGTTTCAGCGATGCGATTTCTTTTATTTCGCTCGGGATGTAATCTTAGCCGTTGATCTTCCTTGTAATCTAGCACTATATATACTCTTGTTTTGTCATTGTTAGAGAAATAGTATGAAGGGAAAGATGTAGAGAGAGAGAGAGAGCGCCTCAATGTAAACCCAAATACTTAGGGTTTGAGTGTTTAAGAGGGTGAGTTTGGGATGGAGCTTTCATGGTGTGTGATTGAAAGCTTGTAAACTACATTAATCTTTATCAAATTGTTACTCCATAGTGGATTGGTGGGTTTTTCTCTCGGTTCTCGGGTTTCCCACGGTAAATTCTCATTGTCTCGTTTATTACTTGTTTTTCCGTCTTCGTTATTGTTAATTGTCGTTAATCGCAAATTAGCTAGCACATTCGTTAATCCTTTCATAAATTGCTATTTATTTATTTTTTTAAAAAAAAAGAAAAAAATTGTGTTTATTCCCGGGGAAAAAAAAAAGTTTTCTTCAAAATATTATTACTCCTCCCGTGTACTTTTGTTATTCAATTCATATTTTTATTATAAATTTAAAAAACTAAATTATAAATCCACAAGGAGAACTTACAATATTTTTGAATAGTAACCTAATCTCTTAAAATTAAGGAGTAGTCTATTACTTGGTTAATACGACTACTGTGTTCAATTGTGTCGTTTTTTAACCTCAAATAATATAAAACTATTTTTAATATTATGGCCGGTTCGGTTCCACAATTTCTATCTTACTCCTGGAGTACCATGCATAACATATTCAAGGTTTATAAAATTCATGTTATTTTGATGTGAAATTCTTATTATTTCAATTTATATATATGTTATTTTTAAATAAGTACTTGTTATTTTATACGTGTATGCAGTGCATATAATAGTATAATACTCCCCCTGATTTCAGCATAGTTCACGAAGATGTCGCATTCCAATTTTGTGAACTAATTGCTCAAATTTCTTCGAAGAAAGTGATTTAGTAAACAGGTCGGCAAGGTTGTCACAAGACTGAATTTGCTGGATATCTAGTTCCTCATCCTTTTGCATGCAAATCATGTGTGAAGAATAGTTTTGGTGATATATGTTTTGTTCTATCTCCCTTAATATATCCTTCAGTTACTTGAGAGATGCATGTTGTATTGTCTTCAAAGATGATGGATGGATTTTCTGTTATTGCTTTCATTCTACACTCTTCTTGGATATTACTAATCATCGACCTCAGTCATACACATTCTCGTCATGCTTCATAAAGAGCTACCAACTCTGCATGATTTGAGGATGTCGCGATCAATGTCTGCTTTGTTGATTTCCATGATGTTGCAGTGCCGCCATAAGTGAACAAATATCTAGTTTGTGACTTGGAATTTTGAGGATCCGATAGGTATCCAGCGTCTGCATACCCAATGAGAGCAGCATCTTGTTTCGGTTGATAATATAAACCAAGGTCTTGTGTCCCTCGTAGGTACCGGAGTAAGTGTCGGACTCCCTTCCAATGTCTGTATGTCGGTGCATTGCTGTACCTGGCTAACAAGTTCATAGAGAAAGCTATGTCGGGTCTAGTGTTGTTAGCTAAGTACATTAAGGCTCCAATTGCACTTAAGTATGGTACTTCTAGACCTTGAATCTCTTCATTTTCTTCTCGGGGTTTGAATGGATCGTTTTTTCATATTCAAAGAACGAACAACCATTGGGAAGTTGATTGGAGTTGCTTTGTCCATGAAGAATCTTTTCAAAACTCTTTCTGTATAGTTTGATTGATAGACAAAAATGCCATGACTCAAGTGCTCTATTTGCAATCCAAGGCAAAATTTAGTATTTCCAAGGTCTTTCATCTCAAATTCTTTCATCAAGTATTTTGCAGTTTTCTCAAGTTCATTTGGGGTTCCTTTGATATTTAAATCATCAAACATAGACTGCAATAATAGCGAATCTTGATTATGATCGCTTAATGAAAACACAGGGACTAATTTGGTTGTTCTTGAACCCTTCTCTCATAAGGTATTCACTAAGACGGTTATACCACATTTTAATCCATAAAGTGACCTTTTTAGTTTTATGTAAAGTAATTGTCTAGGCTTGTGGTTTTCTGGTAGTTTTAGTCCTTCAGAGACTTTCATGTAAATGTTTGTATTGAGAGACCCATACAAATACGCAATCACTACATCCATTAATCGCATTTGCAATCCTTTTGTGACTGCCAAACTTACCAGAAATCTTAATGTAGTTGCATTAACTAATGGAGAATATGTTTCTTCATAATCAATCCCTAGAATTTGAGAAAATCCTTGGGCTACAAGTCTTGCCTTGTATCTAACTATCTCATTTTTCTCATTACGTTTTCTCACAAATACCCATTTGTATCCAAAACCTCTCGTTTTTCAAGTGACTTTAACTCAGCCAGCATTGCCTCCTTCCACTTTGGTCAATCAGTCCTGTGTCGACATTCTTCTACTTTTCTTGGTTCAACATGATTTTCATCGATCAGACACAATGTCAATGCAATGGAATATGCAAATATTTCATTTACGACAACATCTTTTATCTTTTCTATTCCAATGAATCTTAGTAGAGACATAATTCATTGAAATTTCATTGTTATCGATGTCTTTGTCATCTTGTTCATTCCCGTAAGGCTGTCTTCTTGTTCATCCCCTTTTGGATTATCATCATTTTCTTTACTTTCATCCACATTTGGTCTTCCTTGACCTTTTGACGGGGGAACATCATTAGTCTCATTTTCTATTCCATCCAATCTTTTCAACTTCCTTGGTTTACAATCTTTTGAACCAAGTGGTCTCCCACGCTTTGTGCGTGCTTGAGATTTAATTTCAATGGCCTTATTACCAATTGGGATTTCAATACGTGTAGGAGCATTTTCTGCTGGTACATGTGATTTTGTCACCTTCTTTATGTCTACAATACTTTGATTTACAATACTTTGTAAATGAACAATTTTCTTGACTTTTTGTTCACACATATTTGTTCGTGGGTCTAACATCAACATTTTTGTTGCATTCCAAATAAGTTCTATTTCTTTCTTGTGTGGGTCCACTTTTTCTCCCCCTAAGGTTGGGAATACTGTTTCATTAAAGTGACAGTCGACAAATCTAGCCGTAAATAAGTCACCAGTTAATGGTTCAAGATATTTAATTATAGAGGGGGATTCAAACTCGACATAAATTCCCAGCCTTCTTTGTGGACCCCTTTTTGTTCGTTGGGATGGAGCAATGGGAACATATACAGCACAACCAAAGATTTTTTAGATGTGAGATATACTTGGTTCTCGACCACAAACAAGTTGTAGTGGTGAGAATTTATGATAAGATGTAGGTCTCAATCTAATTTGTGCTGCTGCATGTGTTATAGCATGTCCCCAAGCAGATGATGATAATTTTGACCTCATTAATAATGGTCTTGTAATCAATTGTAATCTCTTAATTAGTGATTCAGCTAGACCATTTTGTGTATGAACATTAGCTACTCGGTGTTCAACATCAATTCCAATTGACATACAATAATCATTAAATGTTTGGGATGTAAATTCCCCAGCATTATCAAGTCTTATTTTCTTTATTGTATGATATGGGAATTGAGCTCTTTTGGGCAAGTAATTTTACAAGGGAAACATTTCTATCTGAGAGTAGACTAACATGTGACCATCATGTAGAAGCATTAATTAAGACCATGAAATATCGAAATGGTCCTTATGCCAGATTAATTGGCCCACAAATATCTCCCTGAATTCTTTTCAAGAATTTTGGAGATTCAGTAGCAATTTTGTTCATAAATGGCCTTATTATTAATTTGCCAAGTGAACATGCAAAGCGTGTTAATTCATCTGATTGGGAGATTTTGACATTTCTTATTGAATGTCCAACTGAATGTGCTATTTTTCTTTGCATCACCCCAGTTACTGGATGTCCCAAATGATCATGCCATAAAATAATCAAATGTTTGTCATCTAACTTCTGGTTAGATATCATATTGATTTCCACATGTCGTATATTTATACGATATAACCCCGAAGCAAATGTTGGCAGTTTCTCATAAACATGTTTCTTGCCATGTTTTTCTGCTGTGAGGCATAAATACTCCTTTTGATCTGTTGTCATTGTTTCTAAATCATAGCCATTTTGGCGTACATCTTTAAAGCTTATGAGATTTCTTCGAGATTTACTCGAATATAAAGGATTATTGATTATCAATTTTGTTCCATTTGGAAGCATTATACAAGCCTTTCCAGATCCTTCAATTAATTTAGCTGACCCGAAAATAGTGTTTACATTTGCTTGAAACACCTTTAGTTGTGAAAAATATTTTCTATCCTTCAAGATAGTATGTGTTGTTCCACTGTCCAAAAGGCATTGATATTCGGAATCAACTTCAGGCAGATCCATATCTTCATAAAATAAATATCATACAAACTTTTATTGATGATAGAAATTAAAAGTACATGACTAGAAATTTAAAATACAATACATAGAGAAAATACATTAAAACATATTATATATTACATTAGTAGATTGAAAATCTTAACATTGTTATTTTCTCCAAAGATGAAATCATTTCCAATGTTCATGAAATAATCGGACACATGAAGGCTGGGACAAGGAGCATTTTCTTCATTAACATAATTTGCTTCTGCATTTTTCCCTTTGCCTTTTACAGAAGCCTAGTAAAGATCTATCATATGTTTGGCCATACGACAAGTACGACCCCAATGCCCAGTCATGCCACATCTATAACATGTGTCTTTTTCTTTTGAAGGAGTTTATTTGTGGCTTCCAGATGACTGTCCCTTATGTTTTTCAGAATTTTTGAAATTACTGTTTCTTTGAAAATTATTTCTACCACGTCCACGGCCTCGTCCGCGATAATTTCCACGGCCATTGTAATTTCACATCCACCTCTTTGTGTTGCATTTGCCTCGGGTGGATAAGAATTTGTGGCATTTGCCTCATGACCGGTCAAAGATCCAGTTGGTCTAAGATTCTGATTTTTCAACAAAAGATCATTATTTTGTTCAACAACAAGCAATACACTCATCAATTCATTAAACTTTTGAAACCTCTTTATCCACAATATTGTTCTTGCAACAGTATGTTGCTTGCATGAAAGGTAGTGAGTGTTTTTTCAATCATCTGTTCATCGGTGACTAGATGATCACAGTATCTCAGTATAGATATTATCTCATGTACGGCTGAATTGTAATCAATTACAGATTTGAAATCATGGAACCGTAAATTTGTCTAGTTAAATAATGTCTTAGTAAGAAGCACCCTTTTGTGGTGTCCAAATCTTTCATTAAGGTAATCCCAAAATTCTTTGGGAAATTCAACCATCATATACTCGATTTTAAGGCTTTCATGTAGATGATGCCTTAACAACACTAAGGCTTTTGCCTTTTCTCGTTCAGTAACAGGTTTTACAACCGTCATTGCAAAAGTGGTAGTATCAGTTGTTTGACCAGAAGGGCTTTTATTTTCTTTAATAGTGTGCTCCAAGCCTTGAGCTTTCAAATTCATCATTGCATCCACTTTCTATTCCAAAAATTTCTTTCCAGATAAATCTAAGATGCTGAACTGTCTTTTCATAAGGTCTCCCATTTTAGCTACAACAAATTACGTGATAATTAGTTATAATAAATCATATGTACAACACATACGTTTAATTCTTTCATATTTATAGTTTGTTGATGAAACACGTGATAATTAATATTATTTTAACAATAAACCATAAATAATATTGTTCTTTTCTCCCCCTTGGTCTATTATTGTGAGTGATTATATGATTAGGCAAAAATAAATCATGTTAGTCGCACAAATAGCGAAACGACAATAATAACAGTAGTAACACTAATTATAATAATGACGGTAATTTTAAATGATGTTAATAACAACAAAACAACATAATACAACAAAAACAAACTTTTAATCTACTAAAACGACAAAATAAGTGAGTTTTACTTATACATAATGACAAAAATTAATATTGCTACTAATAAAACTACGAGCGTCGTAATTAGAAGGAAATATTGTTTTATTTTCCTTAAATCTTCCTCAAAAGTGAAGGTGTGGGTATTTTAGTTGCCGTCGATGGGAAACATATCGGAGAAGAAGGGGGGTGAAAATTTTTTGGGTGATTTTTGGATAAAAAGTGGGAAAGGACAAGGGATTTGTGGTGAAATTGGGAGAAAAATCTGTCTTTTATAGAGGTAGGTTTATTTGTTACTATTTTGTACAACTATAAACATATCATATAATAGTCTAATGTACCAGCAAAATTATGGTCCAAATATAATATTTATATTTGTGAAAGGTTATCACACTGGGAATGCAAGCCATAGTGGTCCGAGAGACCTAATATCTATAAAAGATCATGGGTTCGAAAACAGAAATAAACACAAAAGTACGTAAAAGAAAGAAAAAATAATAAGTATAAAAAGGCTGCATCTTTTTGTCAATTTAATTAATACTATGCATGCAAAGTTACTACTAAGCAATTATAATAACTAAAATCAAATTTTACATAAAAGGTGAGTATGTAATATCAACATGCATGAATCAAACAAAAACTAAGATACCAATATGAATAAAACAAGGGAGAATAGCAATGAATTCATAAGTAAAAGAATTTTTTCACCGTTGTTTTTGAGATATATGATATAGTAAATGCTTGAGTTTCTGGTATAGAGGATCCTAAATATGGGCAACTATAGTGCATACTCCTCAAAACATTTAGAAGTATATATAAATATACCTGACTAGGAATTGGTGCTGATAACGTGTTAAAGATTTTACCGATAAAAAGTTTTTTAATCAGTGAAGGAAGAAGTAAGAAGAAGTAAAATTGTAGTAGTGCTCCGGTTATATTTTTGCTTGTGTAACTTACACTTACATGACATTGTATATATAGCCATGAGTTATATTAGGAGTACAATAATTACTCACATATAGTCATATGGGTTCACAAGTATTTGGACCTATATGAGCATTGTATAATCAAATCAATAATTGATATTCACCTTATTAGACTAATCTTCTAACAAATTTATCCTTCACCAAATTTAAATAAAACTATACTTCATTATATCAAACTACATGCAACAGCCCAAATGTCGCTCTTTATAAAATTCAAGCCCACAATCCTCAGAAAAAAATAAAAAAATAAATAAAATTCAAGCCCACAAAAACAGCAGCTAGTTTGATGTCAGCTCACTGAAAATTTATGTGCGTCTTCGGCCCATAACCTACATGAGCTTAATCTGTCGTTAACAGTTTTTTTTTTTTTTTTTTTCTTCCTTGGCCTGCTAATTATACATTTTTTTTTAAATAGTTTGTACTTTTGCTTCTTTATTACTTGTATTTCATCTTTTTTTTTAAAGGGGTGTTGTTTCATTTTATTTTAATTTATAGAAAAAAATAATTTCTAATAAAATAAGTTTAAATAAAGTAATTTCAGACCCAAAAAAAAAAGTTAAAATAAAGTTTAAATAAAATAAATAAGTTCAAATAAAATACAATAATTTTTGATAAAATCAGATTAACCAAACAAAACTCAATATATCCTCAAAAAATAATAAAATATATATAAATAATAGTTTGTCTAAAAAGATTATTTACGGTGTGTTTAGAATTTAGATAGATCTAGAAAGGGGAGGGAAAAGAAGGGAAGGGAAGGGAAGGGAAGGGTGGGAAAGGGGCGAACCCCGGTTTCACATAATGAGAAACGTTTAATGTTTCTTATGAAATTTATCAATATTTTTTTTATTTTTTGGTTCTTCCTCCTTCCCTCCTTCCTTCATCTGTTTTCCACCATTTTCTGCGGTCATTCCCACCTTTTTCTGTACCTCGTCTCCATCCATTACTGACTCATCCTCTGCCTCCTTCTCACCAATTTCCGGCGGCTTCGTCGCTGAAATCTTATGAAAAACCCAAATAAAAAGCTGAGAAATAAAGGGCATTATTAACCCTTAGAGCATGCTTGGATTGGGAAGATGTATTA